TATTTTTCAATTTAACAAATATGTAATTCCCGTGTCTTTTAAAAAACTAGTTTCTCTTAATTAATGATTTCTTTTGAGAAGATATTCTTCTGAAATGCTTTTATCTCTCATTCATTGAAATAGATTTGATTGTATTCCTTGTACTCACGACTTGTTTTATGTGATTATATTTCTGTAATCATATTTTATTACTTGTAAAACACACACTATTATATGAATTCAGTCGCTAATTAGTGTTGAGCTAGATATTCATCTAATAGTCCACTGAATCTATAGCCAGAAGACGACAGTGTGATGTCCAGTGAAACGGCCGGTGAAATGGTTAATACAAAGCCTCCCACCCCTCAGATGGATATGAATATGTACGCCACCAGAAAGACAATTGCCCAGGGTGAGGTGCTTGCTACAATTTTAAACTCTTATAATACTAAATCTGTAATTTAATAAATATTAAATATATTATATTATTCGTAGGAATTATGGACTTGGGATTAATGTGTGCCAATGCATCACAGCTTAAATGTATAATCATTTCATTTTTTAATACAATTCTTTTAAGATGGCCTTTATTTTCAATATTTACTGTATAATTATTTAAATCTATTATATTGTCGATCACACAATGTGGGTCCATATATGGATAATTTGATTTCTATTGTAGAGCGTATCAGTTAATTATGATAATAATTGTGAGCCAAGACTTGCCCATTTAATATAGTCTCAAAATATATCAGGAACCACTTCCCAAATCAATTATAGTGACAGTGTATAGTAATTTTAATTGTCTTTTCCGGATACTCTTTATGAATCCTTATTGAATATAATTGCGGAAAATCGCGGATTAGTGCCCAAACTCCTCAAACTTGACTATTGTGTCCATTAGTTTGAATGAAAGATAGCCATCGATAAAAAAAAGTAGTCAATAGTCTGTGCGCTTGATTGCCGTTCAGACAAATGTTCGGTACTTCGGGCACGGCTTATGTCATTCATAGGCCCATCAAAATGATTACTACTTTCACTGACATTGACTTTTTCCAACAGTAGTTGCATTATACGACTAATAAGTATTAATCGCATTATATTTGCTCATAAAAACAGACGTATTATTAAACGCCAATCAACACAAGTATTTTGAAGTGACAATCGCTTTAATCACGTTATCTATAATACTTCAAGTGAGTACTGCGTCCATACAAATGCCCTCTCATCTCATAAACATAGCACACACTGTCTGTCTGTCATAAATGTATTTATTTTATTATTACTACTTTTTGTGTTTCTTTGCTCCCGATCCCATCCCACCCCTCTCTGTCATTCTCGTCAATAACTCCATTCATTTAATCCATTTCCCTAAAAATGTTACGTTAAATACACTAATCGTAACACAAAACCTTGATACACAGTACATATAAGTTACGATTGAATGTATTGATATGAAAGAGTCTATAGATGTATAGATAACGGGGTCGCCAGAGGTCACGGATCATACAGTTATCTATCGCTTTTGACGGAGGTTTTTATGAAATACACAGAATGTGTGATTAAACAAATAAATTATTTACATTATTAATCTAAATTGAAATTAATTATAAATAATTTAGATTAGTACAGGTGATGAGCTCTCAAACAGTATGACCCCTACTGGTGATCCCAGTGCCTCTATATATAGTATATCCACTCTTAGACACCGAATAAGAGATCATTTTTCTCAATGCAATTATATTTGTTGCTACAGATTATTGTGGGAATTGTATTCATACTATTGGGTCGACTGAACATCAACTTCTTTGTCGACAGAAAAAAGGCCGACCTTTTGAACAACGGCTCCGTAATACTCATATTCTTGATAACTGTGGTCAATGTGCTGATCACGGCGTTTGGGCCCAGCGACAGCTCGGGTCCCGGTGCCGGTGGACACCATCAACCTATGGCCTGGACCAATTTTTACCCTGGCAAACTTCCTGACGATAGTAGTAGATAATGGGCTACTATTTCGCTATTATCTCTATCAATCAGTCCTTATATATTTGATATACTTTTTGTGTTCAATACAACCGATTCACTAAATGAATGATTGGATTCCCATTTCTCTAAGTGGAAGCTGAGAATCCCTTTCCACCAGAAATTTCAATGCGTTTTTTGCAGCAATTGTTTGTATTTTGATTGAGTTTTTTCTTTCTAAAAGAGTATATATTTTATGTGTTTATATAATAGTCGTGTTAAACAAATATTTTTATAAGCTAAATAACTTTTAAGTGCATTTCGCGAGTGATTGCTAAGCGCACACTGATATCAAAAATTTGATCCCAAATTAAATACTGATTTTTTTATTTTTAAAAATTTTAAATCTAGCCAATGTTAGGATTTGATTTGGTTTTTGTCAATATTATGCTATTTCAATACCTGTATATTAATATTTTATGTGTTATATATTTATTCATAGTTTTAATGTAATATTTTAAATATTTTATTTGATTTTAATTTTAAATAAATTAATTCAAGTCATCCATATATAAATAATATGTTTATAAATTATAGTTATGGTTATACAGCATATAATTCATACGAAATATCGACTTTTTACAGAAAATTAATTTTATTCTGTAGAAAAATTTAAAACTTTAATATTAAATAAATTTTTGTGCAATAAAAAAGAAATATAACGAAGTTTTTTTAGATATCATGAGAGTTTTAAAGTATTTTATACACAAAAATACTAAAATTCTTTATTACGATATTATAACATATCGCATATAAGTGGTATAGTTGTATGCAATTCATGTAATATTCCGAGAGATTTAATAAACACAACATATTTACAGAATATTCTGTAATGTTTACATTTACGAGAACTAATGTAAACTAATAAATAAATGATGGCATGAGTTATGTTATAGTGTGACCCCATAATACACTATTGACTCTATTTGGCCCAATGATTGTGTAATATTGTGTCAAATTGTTATCAAACAAACCCCACATTCACTGCACACAACAGCAAACATAATCGCGAATCGATTGCACGGAATTTGCGGGCATTTCTAGCATTGCATTCCTGGAGTTCAGATAAAACCGATGCAACGATACACCCCTTCCCCTGTGGGCACCACTGGTGGCACTGGTATGCGATCTCGGGTTAGATTCCGGAGGATTCTGGTCCTCCATATCGTCGTCGTCTAACAAAAGTGCCACTGAATTGCGATTCCAATGATCGCTGTCTGTGTCACTGATTGGCGTGAAATTATTGTACAATTTTTCACATCCATTATCCGTTTGATGATTGAAATTGTGTTTAACAACTCGTGAAATATTAGCCGTTTTGTCATTTGACACCACAATTGTGTTGCTGTCGAGCGACTGCTGATTGCACTCAGCGATGGCCACCTCATCATAGTTATATTCAAAAACCATTTGTCATTATCTGTTTGGAGGGAGAGTTTTGTTACTAAAATCCATCATAAGTTTTGTTGAATATAAAAAATTATTATATCTAATGAATCGGAAAGATGTTTAATTCGTTTGCTTTAACATTAGTATCAATTAATAAAAGAAAGTTTATTTTCATCAATCATTGTATAACTCAATACTAATAGATAACCGATGAGAGAGAGAGAGAGAGAGAGAGAGATGTCTTTTATATTACATAAGAAAAGCAATGTTTTGTGAAATAAGAAAATATTTGCTTGTTTTACACAAACAATCAATTAATAGCTATGTTTAGTGTTGAAGACATTGAGGAAAAAGTTACTAATATATGGCTGCAAACGATGCAGTGATGGCACAGGTATTCAAAGGCCATTGAGAGGGTGTCGCACATGAGAATAGGGAAGATCCAATAGGTATCTAATATTATCGCCCAAAGCTATAATTTAAAGCATAAAAACAATTAATTGAATCAAACCATATATGAGACTACAGTCGTAGCATGTATTATGTGTTTTAAACAAATTAAACACTTGTTTGCTATAGTAACGTAACAAACGCTCCTTTATATGTTGTTTATATGCTAGCCAAGCGTGCTTTACGACGTGACTTAACTCAAGTAATATATTGAATATGAGGCTTTTGAAGAGGTGATCAATAGTTCATAACTTAAGCTTTTTTGTGCCATCACTTCCCAATTGTATTTTGTTATTATTTCTAATTTTTGATTATACAGTGTATGTCTTCATCACCGATGCTTAAGTTTTTAAAACTGGTCAAAATGTCAACAGTTTTGGTAATTTTATTTTATTAGTTTAAAATAAAATTTTTCGATACAATATTCTTAATCAAATATACTGTATCATATATAATTTCTAAAATTGTACAGTATACAATACTAGATAACGTTTTCAGTTCAATTAATTCGTGATTTTTATTTTTCAATTTAACAAATATGTAATTCCCGTGTCTTTTAAAAAACTAGTTTCTCTTAATTAATGATTTCTTTTGAGAAGATATTCTTCTGAAATGCTTTTATCTCTCATTCATTGAAATAGATTT